CTGGGGTCAATCTTTCGTAAACATGGCCTATTATTCCATCTCTATGCTGACGATTGCCAGATTTACTCTCCATTGTGTCAGGAGAAAGGTCACTCTATCCAATACTTTGTGTCCTGTCTTAACAAGGTGAAGTCTTGGCTAATGGCCAACGTTCTACATCTGAATGAGGGAAAGACAGAGCTCATTGTTTTTCACCCCAACAGCAGGAATGTGGATCGTTATGTTGATCTTAGCCATCTTTCTCCCTACTCAAAACCAGTTGTTACCAGTTTGGGGGTGAAAGTTGATGCTGGACTTAAATTTGATGCTCACATCAATTCTATGATCCGGTCCAGTTTCTTTCACCTGAGACGCCTTGCATATGCTGCCGAGAGCCCACCTGGAGTGGGTACTGCATGCATTTGTAATTTCTAGGCTTGATTACTGCAACTCTCTATATGCAGGGTTGTGTCAGTCATCACTGCGTCGCCTACAGGTTGTGCAGAACAGCACAGCCAGGTTCCTGACTGGGACCAGGAAACGGGACCACATCAGTCCGGTTCTGGCCTCCCTGCACTGGCTTCCGGTTTGCTATCGCTCACAATTCAAAATCCTCATCTTTGTCTACAATTTCTTCCAGAGTAATGCTCCTCCCTATCTGGCCACGCTCCTGAACAAACATTCCCCATCACGCGCTCTGCGCTTTTCTGACCAAGGCCTGTCCCTCGTTCTAGGTGTCGTACTCCCTGGGACCGGGCTTTCTCAGTCCTAGCACCAACACTCTGGAACCAGTTGCCACCCTCTGTTAGGCTGTCCCCATCTCTGCCAGTCTTTAAGAGTCGCCTAAAAACACACCTCCTCTGCTTGGCGTTTCCGGAACATGTTTGATTTTTGTCCCGCTTTTATGTTGAATTTATTTCACAGTTTTCATTGGTTCACTCTATCCATTGTCTTACACATTTGTCTTGTACCAGAATGTTTCACCTATTTTGTAATTTGTATTTTGTAATTTGACTTGCTTTTATTTTTGATTTATTCAATATATTTACCTTCAACTGAACCATGTTCAGCGCTTTGGGCTTCCTGACAGGGTTGCCGAAGGCGCTTTATAAATAAAGCTTTCATTGATTGATTGAACTCCAAGGACAAAATATGAACTTTTTTTTCCACAATGTTCCATTTTCCATAGAACTTTACACACACACACACACACACACACACACACACACACACACACACACACACACACACACACACACACACACACACACACACACACACACACACACACACACACACACACACACACACACACACACACACACACGCTTTTAAATCAACTGGCCCGCATTGAATGTGTGAGTATTGAGAATGTGCTTTAATTTACTTCGTAAGGGCAGGAAAGGCAGCTTAGTTATCTTTCCCACTGCCCAAATGCTCTATTCATTTATTTTTCTTTCTATTCCGGACTCTCACATTTAATACATCTACCTGTTCATATCCAAATATTATAAATAAACGTTTGGTCATAAATTTGAACACACATTCTAGGAGGCTTTTGGACATCTAAACAGAAATAATAAAAATGCAGAAAAATGAAATTGCAGCTTGTTCTGATTTCAAAGCTTAGCATTTTTAGTCAAATCAAACACAACCGTGTATGCACTAATCAGAATAATTTGTATTTTATAGGCTGTATCTGTCATGACACCCAGTCTTTCACCCTCCTCTGCCTCTGCTGCCTCCTCATCAAGCCCTCAGCCACTTCACTCATCTCACCTGTCCCTGTCATCAGCTCATTACACACACCTGCTCCCCCTGCTATATATATTCACCAGCCAGCCACCAGTCCTCTGCAAGATTATTGAACACTTTTTGTTTGTAGATCTTCCAGCTTTGCACCTTGCTTTCACAGCCTCTGGACCTCGTTTTTTCACCTGACCCCTGCCTTGAACTCTGCCTGCCACCACGACCCTCGCCTGTCTACTACCACATCTCCAGCCTGCTCCCTGTACCTGCTTGTCCTGATCTGGTGTTGATCCACGCCTCCTCTCCGACTCTGTCTCCTGCCTCGCCCTCCTCTAGTAACGCTACATCAATAAAGACTTTTTATGAAACGTTTACTGTGTTTGGTATCACAGGTCTTCCAAGTTCTGGTCGTGACAGTGTCAGGGACTATTCAAACAGACTCAACATGTGTAAAAAAAATCTAACTGAGCACCACCTCACCCCTGCCACGTGGACCTCAAGGGATAAACCATCAATCCTGCTCAATGGTCAACTTTCCTCGTGGGGTCACCCATAAAGACAGTGGAAGGGTATAACACATGTTTAAATATCAGTACCCATCCTCTGGGGGAGCTGTGGCTGTGCTCGGGAACCATTTGGTGGTTTAACACCCCAATCCAATCCCTTACAGCTGAGTGTCAAGCCGGAAGGCATTGGGTCCCATTTTTAAAAAGTCTTTGGTATGACCTGACCAGGATTTGACCCCAATCTCCCAGTCTCAGAGCAGACACTCTACCACTAGTCCACTGTGCTAGGTTTCTGTTAGTGAGGTGTTTCCAAGTTAGACCTTTTGTAATTTGTGCAGCATTAATGGTGTGCTCTTTGTTTCCCATTTACACACTCACTTTATCCTTTTCCATTATTACACCATGATTTTCTTAAGTTCAATTTTCAGCTAATTTATACAAGCAGAAAGATAAAAATGAAACTAATGTATTTTTTTCTGAATGTAAATCCCCCCAATGCAAACAAAAACGCATGAGGTGAACTTGTTGGGTCGTTTGGCTTCAGGTTGCTATAGTGCATTCGTAAGGAGTCATTTATTTGCAACAATGTAACTGTGGGTGGTGTTGCTAAACACCAGCTACAAGAATGCATGGACATGGGATGTCCAATACAACAGAATTTTTAAACTCTAATCACATGCTGCTGACCTCATGTTTAGACTTCTAATCAAATGTATTCAGTTCAGCAAAATCACACCTTTATCCCCTTTTTGTATTTCTCTGTGTGTTTCCGTTTACCTATTGGTTATTTCGTTTTTGTCTATAAATTCAGAGTTAAAGAAATCCTGAATTACTTTGAAACAGTAACACAAAAAGTGAGTAGCATTATGAGTTGCTTTTATTTATGATGCAGTATTTAAATCATTTTCATTTTAAGTCAGTGAGCCTAAGTGGTCCATTAATGCAGTTTAACCTATTTAAGTCTCCATAGGTGTAATAGGAAGAAAGAAAAACAATCCCAACATGAAGACTGAACGTGTCCTAGGATTAACCCCATGTGGGTTGCTACGATTCAGCCACGCAACGTCCATTTGAAGGATTGAACCATTTCCACACCACTGAAGTAATTTAACTGCCTTCCTTGTTTTATTATCCTCTTCCACAATCATTAACTCAAGACATGCTAATTGCAAAGTATCAGCTAAAGGGTAAAAGTTTGAAATGCTGGCATGAATCCACAGGACTACCAGGAGCCAAAAAAACCTGAAATACATTTTTTAAAGTTTTTGCAAGGGTGACTATGAAACAAACAATTCTGTTTAAAACCGTAGTAAGTGAATCATTAAAGCATCAAAAAGTTGGAAAAAGGAAAAGGTTGATTGTCATTTGAGGTCTACTGAGCCCAACAGTGGTCAGGCGTTGAAATAAATACCTGGTCAAAATAATCCATTTCACCATTCTAGTAAACAGTTGACGGAGTTTGATGTTGGGCTGCAGCTTTAGTAAAGTTTGATGCATGTTCTTAGATTTACACTTACAGTGTCAATATGTTCCAGATAAGGTGTAATTAAACCCCAAACCATGTTCTCTCTAACTGTGGCATGCAACCCCACATAAACACAAAACAAAATTGCATTTTTTTTTCTCATACAAGTTTGCCTCAATCAAAAACCGGTGAATTTAGTGACCTGGGGCCTCATTTATAAACTTAATAAAACCCTACTTGAACTCAGCAAAAAAATATTCACACAAAGCCATTTTCTTACCTATAAAGAACTGCTTATGCGCAGCCACTTTTTTATACATTACACCTGTCCTAGAAATGTTCTCAGGTGTTTCTGGATCACATCCCCCTCCTACACACCCGTTTTCTGCCAAAGACAATGCAAACTACATTATGAATACTGTGCATGAAAATAAACCTGTCTCCAAGTCTGAAAGTGTCATTTTACCTTCTCACTAACGTCTCTGCCAGGTTTCCCCATCTCCAAAATTTTCTCACGCCAGGTCTAAAGTATGTTTAAAGTTGTGCACATTTTTCAGTCAAGTTTTTCTTAAATCATGAATAATGTATACAGGAAAATCATGAAGCTTAAAAAAATTATTAAAAAAAATATTTTTTGACACCCCCCCCCCCCCCCCATACATTTTATTCCAAGCCACACCTCCGACCAAAACTAATCACACTGAAACAGTTTTTAGAAATGCTCTGAGCACAGAAAAAAAGAAAACAACACAAAAATAAGTAAATAAATAGTGTAATTACTCAGCTATAATTTCTTTAGCTGCATCTCCCCTCAATTCTGCTAATGCTCATTCTAACTCCTTTGGTGTCTGGCCTCTTGCGACCTTCTTCCCTAAAGTGTAAAGTATTAATGTCCTTTTTGCTGACCGCAGTGAGTCTATGCCAATCCATCATGGAACCTGCACACATGGTGATTATTTTTGGGTTGGTGGTAAGGTGAATTTTCCTGGTGCGTCTTTGCTTGGGCCCCCTACCTTGCAAATATCCAGAAAGAAGACTCAGAGTTATTTGGCCAGTTCTAATAGTTAATTAGGTGGATGTTAAGAGGAACGTGGAGCATAATAACTCAAAGAGAATACTGAATATTCAGTTTTTCCCTCATCCATTAACAAAATATAATGGTGACCAGGAAATCCAATAATACATTTATAATGCATAACTAGAGGCATCTGTCAAAATTAATTGAGACCTGGGTGGAACTCAATGAATGCATGGCCTATGTGATAAGGAAATATTTTTGTATGCGTCCTTTTTTTCCACAGAAAATGCTCTGATGATGTTTGAAACTGAACCAGACCAGCAGTCAACTCTTAGGCAGACCAGCACACCCAGCCACAGCAGGGGAGAGAACAGAAGCAGCACTTCTCAACCAGAAACCATAGAAACTATGAGCAACATTCTGGATGCAGCAATGCCAACACAGGTGATTCTAATCATGGTCACTACAGCAACCTCGCACAATACATTTTAGGAAAGTGATGCATTCTATTTTCCACTCTCCTTTTTTACAGTTTGTATACAGTACATCTGAACAAAAAATAAATAAATCATCGCACGCTACTTTTCTCACACTTTAAGTTACAACCTAATTCCAAAATGGATTAAATTCATTTCACAGTTCAGTTCAGTTAAAGTAGTTTATTATCCCTGTTGAGGAAATTTGGAGCACATTCATTTCGCTCAGAATTTTGCAAACTACACTCCATAATTACAATGTAAAATAATTTATTTATTTATTTTTTTTGAGAAGCTCCAATTTCCAGAAGGGCTCAAAGTAGAGCTGTTCCTCCAGCAGCAGTCCTCTCTTGCATTGAAGAGATGATTCTATTACAATGTCCCCATATGTGACATCACAATTGGAAGCTTTTTGCAACGGCTTGTTTTAGGTCCACACTTCCTAAAACCAAACACTGACAGAAAACAAATAGACACACTTTTTCCACATTTGGAGTGTTTATAGAGGAAGTAGAGATTGACATGGCAGCACAAAAGGATACAAACATTGAGTTTTATATAATATGTCTGCTTTAAGTCTTAGGATTGCAATGTTCTAAAAAATGAGCATCCACACCTACAGACCTTCAACATGCATTGTTGCACAAACCATAAAACAGAAAAGTTCAGGGTAAAATAACCCATTTAAATAATATAAAATAAGCAACTGCAAAGAACATCATAAAAAAGACATGCGATTTTACAAAAAATGCAAGGGTGTAATAATGCGTCTATTCTCTCCATGAACAACGGCAATAAGTGATTAACTACGTTTCATTCTGTTTTTCAGGTTCTTGGGAATGAACTGCTGGTAGGCCATGCCACCCTACCTTCCAGCGGCCACGCAAACTCTGCCTCATCACACAGCCTGATGCTTGAAGCTGCCTTCCACATTGTGTTATTACTTCTTCATCTCCTCTCTGGACAATAAAAGCTGCAGGGATCTGGCTGAGGACCCTTGGAACAGATAGGAGTACCAGCTCAGTCCCAATGACAATGAACCATGTGTTATTATTCCTCCATCTAAATATGTACAGTGATTCTGCTTTTTTTAAACATATATATGAATATCTTATTTTCTAATTTGCATCAAAACAACCCTCGTTATTATTCACAGTGTGGTGAGCCTTCAGACAAGTCTGTACTTTTGTACATTGTGAACAAACCGAGCTGAATTGGAATCAAAGTACTTCTTTTATGGACTGTAAGACAATATAACACAGATATGTGTGCTGCTGTAAAGTGCCATGATGTATGTACCTGTAAAGATCTGAACATCTATAGAAAATTATTGCAGAAATCCTGTGAACCTTGTGTCTACTCTGTCCTAAGTATCAGCAAGAACCTGGAACCGTTCTTTACAAAACCTTCTGAAAAAGGGACACCATTTCTAATCCGTACAGGAACAATGGAGTAACAGATACAACACGGACCTACAAAATGGTCCGATTTACTGAACAGATGCCTTCACTGGAAGGACATAAAAACAATTATCACTCACTCTGTCAAGACTGTATAACTTTGCAGGAGATTGCTCTGTGATGATACTTGGGCTTTAGTGATAACACCACAGTTTTTAGAAGATAAAAGTTCTTCATTTTTATCAGCAAAGACTCGTGATTGGACCTGAGAAGCAGTATGTCTACCTGTCGCTGCTGTGCTTTGTGTTAACGAGTGTAATGCCTTTGATTTCTTATTGTGTTTGTGAACGTTTGCGATGAGGTGCTCAGAGGTTTTTCAAGACGAAGGAGGTCTGGTCAAAAACATTCAATGAACTCTGAAAAGAACCAGATCAGCATTACATATAAAAGTCACAGATCAATACTTATTTGTATCATTCAGTATTTTAAAATAAACAACAACTGCTTTTCTTTGAAATAACTGAAGTGAGATCTCTTATTTTTTAGGACAGTGTAGCGCAAATGATGGGTTTTACCTAAGCTAGTTAAACAAGGATTATGATGAGGTGAATTATTCAAATGCAAATAAAAACTGCATTTACAGTGTTGTGTAGTTTTTGTTATCATGTCTGATTAGTTTTTTTAAAAAGCTCACACTTTGCTCTACTTTAGCAACAGATTACTTCAGGTTTAATAAAAAATAAAACAGATTCCTAAACATCCTGCAAAATATCAGCACTTTAAGCTTTTCATGCTGGCGGAGGTTCTCAGTCATGCAGGTCATGGTAATCCAAAAGGGTTCAGATGAAGGCAACTGGACTTTTGTTTCTTGAGGATTTTTCGTTTCTCATCTGAGGAACTTTGTCAATTCTGACTGGAAAACTGGAGAGTCAAGCTTATAAACTGTAGCTGTCTATTGTTATTTAGACTAACATCTTTCCCATGTCCACCAGATGAGTCTTTCCACATGGGTATTCAAGGAATGAGAAGCAACTCATTGCAGCAGTTGGGGTTAAATAACTTGCTGACAGCTAACAAATAATCGCCCATGTAGCAATTATCCAATAGCAGTCCTGTACCTGTTAGCTTAGTTAAATCCAGGTGGAGACTTTTTTTTATTGGACCAGAGAAGTGAGTAAGACAACATAAAATCCATTTTTTCCACTTGAAAAAGATGTTAGAAAAAGAGACTGAACAGAAGAAGATGGATATGTTGAGAGGTGTTTTGGGGAGAAAAACAAATCTAGTAAAGCTATTTTTGTAATTTCTCCAGGTGACAGCATCCACTCAGCTTAGAAAACAATGAAAAGGCATAAAACTCATCACATATAAGCACAACGTGTAACAACTTGTTCATAAAAAAAAGAGATGTTTACCTACAGGAATTATAATTCATACCTCAGCAACTCCCATTGCCTCTACGGGATTTACATATGTTCATTATACTAAAGTGTAAATGAAAATCAGATTGTTCAGATGAATCTGGACGTCCTGAGTAGAATCTGTCCAGCTGACTTATCTTAGAACCATCAGTGATCCTTCTTCATTCTCTCTTTGCAGCTCACTGAACATAAACAGCCTAGTTAGGAATAATCTCATATCTCCGATGATTCATTTAACTATTTGTCAGACTGAAGGTTCACACTACAGAACCGCAGCGTGTCAGAAAGCTGAACTAGAATCCCTGCCTCGCCGATGCGGCTGCTTATACAATTGCACTTTACTTCCATTTCTGTCCAGACCTGTATAACAAACAGTGTGATGAGGACTGTAACGGAATTTAAATGACTTGAGAGTATTAAAAAGAAGTCTCTTAATTTCATAGCGCATTAGTGAGTGGGTACAATAAGTCAGTGAAAACTTAGATCAGTCTTTGGATTTTTTAATAAAACATGAACATTATGAATAAAATCATTTGTATCATCAAATACGAGGTTTGGCTTAAATTTAGTGAATATTTATCTTTGTAAAGTAAACAATTCAGCAGAAGTAGGGTTTCTGCTCTGCCTTTTCACAAAAATAAATAGCAATGTATCGACAGACTGAAAGTTATTGCATTGAGATTATAATCCACTCTGACAGAATTTGGATTGTAGATCTGAACAGATGGATAAAATGCATTGGTAATCTTCTGAACAGTTTGGGATGAACACACAAGACATTAAAACCAGAATTTTAGCATTACAGTTTTTTTTTACAGCAGCTTGTGATATTTACCTTATTTAGCTTTGTTTTTGTTTTCAAGACTGAAATGAGTGCATTTAGTATAAAAGTCAAGTGTTTATTTCGAGATCAGCATTCTTTAAAGAGAACCAACTTAAAGAGACAATGTGTAGTTTTTACCGGTAATCACTAGAAATACGGTAAATGGCCTGTATCTGTATAGTGCCATCTTAGGGTTCTACAACCCCTCAAGGTGCTTTACAACACAATCAGTCATTCACCCATTCATACACTGGTGGTGATGAGCTACGATGTAGCCACAGCTGCCCTGGGGCACACTGACAGAGGCGAAGCTTGCCGAACACAGGCGCCACCGGTCCCTCCGACCACCATCAGCGGGTTTAATGTCTTGCCCAAGGACACAACAGCAGCATTGCCTGGTCAGAGCCGGGATTGAACCTGCAACCTTCAGATTACGGACAACCCGCTTTACCTGTTGAACTACTGCTGTCCATAATGAATATCTATCAAAATGTTGCTGATGTAGCGTTGTGGTTTTATGCTCTTTTATGAAAGAGGAACCATGCTACGTATTAATTCGGAATATTAATTTTTAATAAATCAATAACCAAGTTTTATATTGTTCAGAAGACTCAAAGGTTGTTTTCATCGATAAACTGCCGATAATATCTGAGTGTCTGTGTTTCAGTTCAATGAGGAAACCAGTTTGATGATTAAAAGTTTTAATTCTTCAAATTAAACTAATGATTTTGAAAATTGACAAACAGGAAATACAATCAACATTGGTCACTTTGTGGGACAATCTTTAACAGTTGATATGCTGTTCTTGCTCAAATAGACCTTCTGGTGAATTTATGAAGATTGAGAATGTTGTGAGTTGTGAGAGTGATATGATGTGATTATGAATGCGTGTGGGTGCAAAGTGTGGTGAGATGAGGTGAGATGGATGCGTGTGTGCATCTGATTTTGCTTCAGGAAGAAACAGGTGTCTGAGTGAAAAGTGATGGTTTGAATAAACTTAGGTTTAGTTGAAAAAAATGCATCCAAACGCTAAACACCGTGCTGTCTCACCGAACTCTTGTGGACCCTCTTTCGGATCCGGGCCGTGGAGGATGTTGTGGTTCATCCAGATGACACTCAACGGCTGACAGGGAAGACGTAGGTGTCGAACGGAACCGGTCCAGAGTTGCCCTCGGTACACGTTGATGGTAAAGCGTTTTGTCGACGCGCTTTCTTAAGTTAATTCACTCAGAAATCAAAAGACTCGGTAATGAGTCTGCGTTAGAAGTTGCGATTCAGCTATTCTGTCTGGCTGACAGAAACAGCGTGAAAGGTGGGGGGGGGGGGGGGGGGGGGGGGAAGAAACGAGCCAACAGGCTCTGTCCCCCCTTCAGGTCCTCTCTCTTTCGTTGTCAAGCATGAACTGAAATCATAAGACTGAAACTTACCAAAAACCTTTCTCTTCTCAAAGCAAACGTGTGCGTCATCAAATGTGTCTGGAGTTTACTGTGGGAAGATGTGTGTGGGTGTGTGTGAATGTTTGTGTGCTTGAGTGTGTGTGAAGGTCAGTACCAAACATTCAACATTATCTACTTAAGTGTGGATTCATTAATCCATTATAATTACCCCAAAGCATAAGAATCATTCATTTGATTAAACACATTTATAATGAGCAAAATGATAATGGTTACTTTAACATTAAAATCAAGAAAAAGAAGTTTAAACTTTATGTTTTGACTTGGTCTGGGTACAACTCATGGAAACACATCTTCTGGTAGACTGCAGGTGGCTGATGTTATGGTTTCCTCCCAGACTCGCTGGCGTTCAGGTCTTAATCTGTGGGTGAAAGTTCTCAATGACCCAGCTTTGACCCAGCTGCGTCCAACACCACCATTGTGACAGAAAAACCCATATTTCCTCACGTTACAGATCCCCCCTTTTTGTGACGACATGGTGGTCAAGCAGAGGCCACCTGGCGACACAACCACAATAACGTGATGTACTCGTGAAGGTAGACATCCCAGATGAAGGCAGGAACGATGAAGCGTCACCACAGGTCTCGTGTAGAAGGGAGTCTATCCTGATCAGATGATTAAGGCCAAAACTGTTGCAATCATTGTAAGTAATCCACTTAGGGAATCTTGAAAGCAGAGCTATTTCAAAAGCAGTTAATTTTCATCAGCAATAATGCCAAGGTATGCAAAGGATAAGCAGCTCGTGTGCCACACGGAGCTGGGCAGGTGATGTGTTCCTCAGGCGTAATCCAAGTGAAGTCCAGCGCAGACCTCGACCCATCTCGAACCACGACCGAAGCCCCATGCGACAGGAAACCAGTTGAAGGATGGTGAAGACGACCCCTCTGATGGGATGTAGTCCATACGAGCTCGGAGAAGGAGACAAAGTGAGACAGCCCACACGATAGATAGCATTTGATGCAAATCAAAGAAATCAATCAAAACCTATCTATGGGTGCCTCTGGGAAAATGTGGATGCCTTTTGTGAATTATCTAAAGAAGAAATGTTCTGCACCCTGCTCTACATGTCATGTAAAAACGTGATGCAGAGAAAACACAAATAAAAGAAAGTAAATCCTAACTGATATGTGAGACTCAGCAGGCTGCATTAAGTAAAGGCATACATATAAAAGAAATAATCATGAAAATGAAGGGCAAATTGGCTTGTGGCCCTTTAAGGGAAATAGTAACAAAATAAAATTAAATTTGTAATCAAATACAATCATGCTACACAAAGCACTAATAAAAAGATAGAGATGTAAATCACTTCTAAAAATGTAAATCAGTAGGTTAGTAATCCCTAAAGATGTGAGTTAGTAACAGGACCCTGGCTGGAGGCAGGCAACCTGAAAAAAAACTCAAAGGATATCACATTTGTTAAAAATTCATCCCACAAACGAGAGAATTTGTAACGGTCCACCAGTTAGTGGAAAAGAATCCGGTCAGAATAGAGTTGGTCAGAGTAGAGTTTTGAATCTGGTATTGCGGACCCACAGAGACACGAGTTTGGACGTATCTGTGGGAGCAGGCTCATAAGCGATTTGGTTATCAAACTGTTTGTATCTTGTGTTACGAACCCACAGGGAAACTTGTTTGAATTTACCTGAGGGTTCCGTCCGGAACTCGAGTGAAGCTGATGGTTTAGCTGTTAGATCAGAACCCGATGTTACCTGCTCAAAGTTGTGTTGCAGCTTTACGGAGGCGACTTTGTTGTGATCAGAAATAGTAGTGAACTGGAAATGCGAAAATGATGCTCGCAAAGCAGGAGGAGGCTCCCCACCCCCCTTTTGTTTCTCATACTTATGCCGTGTCTGTGAGACAGGAGAAGCATAACAAAGAACAGTTCTTAAGCTCTTAAAAGCCCTAATACCAAGAAGATGCACAGCGTCACCTGAATAGTGCTGAAAGAGTAGGTGTTCAGATGTCCAATGACCTGGAGGTGTTGGACTTGGAGGTTCTGAAAAGGAGTGATCTAAGGATGGTTGTGTCACGGGTGTCAAAGCAAACCTAGCCATGTTTAGAATCAGATACAGACATGACGCTAGCTTTAGGAACATGGTCTGTCCTGAAAACTGAAGCCAAGAATACTTTATTCCCAAGAATGATGGAGGTGCCCACACAGAATCAGAAAAACCCGGTTTAACCAGAGTATTTACAGACTGACTAGAACTCCGCCCCGTAGAAGGTGCAGCACCTAACTCCGGGTCGGAGGTCAATGTCGTCAGCTGAATTGGTGGAAGGTCAGTGTCGATTTCTGCAATGACCCGCCCGCTCGGAGGAGGCGTTCCCCCGAACCGGTTGAAGTCCGCAACGGAAAACTCAGTGCCACTCGGCACCCCCCCTTTGTCAGGAGGGGCCCCGAGCAAGTTTCAGAGCGGAAATGCAGCTTTCCGA